CCCTGATTTTTCACATGGAGTTTTTTAACTAGATTCTTATCAAATTGTGTTTTATATTTTCTTCACTTCCAGCCCCGTGAAATGAAGGCATTAGTGATCAATAAAGGAATAAAATACATAAAACTCAATATGAAAAACAGAAATTAAAAATACACTGCAAAAAATTAAAATCTACATAAGTCATTTTTTCTTGCAATAAGTAATTTTTTTTCTTGAATTAAGGAGGTGATTGAGACACTTTGCCAATGGAACAAGACAATTTACTCTTAGAATAAAAAAACACAATTGCATTGTCTTATTTCATGTGCATATTATCTAATGATCTTATTTTTAGACTAAAAATACTCATTCCATTGGCAAATTATCCCATTTACTTACTCAAATTAATGGTAAATACACTTAGTTTAAGGCATTCTTTTTCTCATATTTATATGGTTTTTGCAGTGTATAAAAATAAAAATGAAATCTTATAAAACAGCAAAGTTGACTGGAAATTGATTACAATTTCTGGATTTATGTCCTTTTAAAACAAAAAAATTTTGCTGCAATGAAAACAAAATTAAAATTTACTCTCTATTTATATGTCAATTCATATTTAAGGCTTTAAATGGCTGATAAACAAATAAATCATAGCAGTACTGAGAGCTTAAACTTTTAAATATTACCTCCATAACTGGTGACCAACCAGCGCCTATTAATTACTCTGTTTACAACACGTCTCCCATAAACCCACACAGGTTAGTTTAAAGGTCTAGCTTGTTAAAGTGAAAATAAATCAGAGCAATAAATGAATTATTAATCATCAGCTAATGGTTGGTTATGTTGATTCTTCTGGGCGTTAATATCCAGGAATAAACAGCTGCTGCTGTTGCTCCATTTCACCTTCGCTGACAACCATCTGTTGCTACGGTAATTTTAACACCAACACAATTATTCACTTTAACCAAACTCTGAGAGTCTGATTTAAACTCTGACAGCCGGACTGATTTGATCTACAGAAGCCATCAAACAGCTGGACTAACGCACATCGCCAGCCGATAGCGCGGCGTCATTTCTGCAGCAGCGCTAGCATAAAGGAAACGTTGGACCGAAATGTTTCAGCTGAAATTAAAACTGGAGGAAAAGAGCCCAGAGTCGAAGCATTTTGAAATATAGAATATTGGTGAAGCTCTCTTTGTTTTAGTCTTTTTTTACTACAGAGAGGTGAAAAAGTCCAACCTCAGAACAAACATGGTGGCTGGACGTCTTCAAGCTGCACAACATCGTGATTCACAACCAAACTTCTTCTCGTTACCGCTGACAGTTTAGCAACATAAACAAATACCTAAAAACAAACAGGCAATAATTGTGTTTGACAGAATATAAACTTTCCTTCTGCTGGAGTTTACAAAATGTATTAAAAAGCTTCTTTTTTTACATTTCTTCATAGTTTCTTTGAATCACGCAGTGAATAACTGTTGGAACACTGCAAAAAATGGAAATCTAAATGAGTAGTTTTTGCTTAAATTACGTGCATTTTTTCTTGAATTTAGGAGGTAATTAAGACACTTTGCCAATGGAACAAGACAATTTTCATTTAAAATAAGAAAAAAAATTTGCTTTGTCTCATTTCAAGTGCATATTATCTAATTATCTTCTTTTAGGAATAATAATACTAATTCCATTGGCAAATCATCTTCTTTATCGACTCAAATTAAGGACAAGTATACTCAATTTAAGAATTATTTTACTTAATTCTAGATGGTTTTTGCAGTGAAGGAGAGCGTTTCTAGAAGCAGCGAATCACAATATCGTTACATAGTCGAGAAGTTTTCTCTTTCCTTTCCTGTTCAGTCTGGCTATTTTTACCTGAAACCTTAAAGAACATTTTGCCCAACATTTATTGACTGCATTTGAACACAAATACCTTACTTTTTCAAAATCATATTGATAACCTGAAATAACTCCTGCATTGAAACAGGGAAAAACCCAGCAGCATGGATCAGGGTCTAAGATGCAGACATTTCCAATCCATTCCCTTTTTATTAGTTTTCAGGTTTACATGTTGATTATGTTTCAAGCTTTATTTTAAATCTAAAGCTGTTTCATTATCAGGAGAGCGGAGGGCTAATGGTTAGAGCACAGAGAAGACTGCACACTACAAAAAAATAAAATCCAAAGTATTTTTTTTCTTAAAATAAGTGCATTTTTTCTTGAATTAAGGATTGAAGTGAGACACTTTGCCAATGGAACAAGACAATTTACACTTTAAACAAGAAAAAAAACAATTGCATTGTCTTATTTCAAGTGCATAATAGCTAGATACCTTATTTTAAGAGTAAAAACACTAATTCCATTGGCAAATCATCTTATTTACCAGCTCAAATTAAGGGTAAATGCACTTAATTTAAGACATTTGTGCTCATTTTGAGATTGTTTTTGCAGTGCAGTACCAGGTCCAAACTACTAATCTGGGTCCAAACTGTCCTATGCTGCTAAAAAGACCTAAATAAGCGTGTTTGTCCTTAATTTGAGCAAATAAATAAGATGATCTGCCAAAAGAATGAGTTTGCCTCTCGAAGTAAGATAATTAGTTAATATAATAGTGGAGGTATATTTTTCTCAGCATTTTCTCTTACCCATCTTCTTCTAAAACTTCCCTCCCTAAAGGGGATACTCAAAAAAGTATCGATACTGAAACGTTGTATCCGGATACAATACTCGAAACCAGTAGTCATTTATCTAAAGTGTAGAATAGAGGAAAATGCACTTTCTGAACACTGTGTGATTGAATAATTTTGTGCATTTTTCAGTTTCAGACTGTTTTTCTGTAACAGGTGCAGCTGCTGAGAATTATTTTTGTTTCTTAAACGGTTTGGCTAGCGTCATTGCTATGTGTGCAAAGCATAGCCAAGGAAGGAACACTTAATTTTAATTTTATAAGTTTTTAATCAAGCTTGCTTAATATTGTGCACAGCATACAACCTTTATTGTATTTATTTATTGTATTTTATTTATTAATGAAAATCTTTCTGTAGAATTTTTGAGTCTTTGTTTTTATCCTTGTGGTATCGAAAATGGTATCGAGTATCGAATATTTTCCTTAGTATCGGTATCGAGTTGAAAAGTTTAGTATCCGACAACCCTAGGATCGCAGTGGTCAAATCTAAATCTTCTCTACTCCATGCGTATTTCCTGTTTGGTTCCTTACCGGCTTGTTTTGTTCGTATGACCGCCATCGTGGAAAACGACTCGAGAAGATTGACGAGCAAGAAGAGTGAGGTGTTTGGGAATGCTGGGATCCTTTTTCCACCTGGATCCCGGGTGTTTTTGGCCCTCATGTCGCTCCGTTGTCGCACTAATTTCCCTCCACTTCCTCACCGCCTCGGCCGTATCTAGACCCACAGCTAGTTCCTGATTGGCCCTCTGGCGTTGTGGCGTGGAATAACAGCGCAGACCACGCTTCAATATTGGGCATAAATAAAAAATATCTGCGACAAGCTCACTGCGACACACTGCTGCAGGAGGATAACTTAGCGCTTAAGGAGTGCC